ACCTGTAAGACCTTGTGGATGAGTATCAGAGTGCAACCACTCAAGAGCTTGCTAAGGAGTTACATTATGTTAGTGCCATGACCATTAGTTGTGCTGTGCATTGTATAAACTTGACATACAAGTTCAATTGCTAAGTGCCACATGAACTTACGCAAGTATATAAGGAGTGTTCGGGCTGCACTAATCTACTTGAATACCAACGCAAGGATAAAATTCTCGATTGGATCGTCACTTGTGATGAAAAGTGGATATTCTTCAACAATGCAGGCCGAAAAAAAGGGGTTTTCTGCACCCAGTGAGCCTATCAGCAGCATCTCAAAGTGGGATTTGACTGACAAAAAGATCATGCTCTGTATCTGGTGGTATTGCCATGGTGTTATCCATAAAGAGTATCTGGAAAAAGAGAAAACCCTCGACAGCAAGGGGTACAAAGAGATGCTAGTCTGTGTTGATGCTGCTATCAAGGAAAAACATTGTACTGAGTTCCGGTACGAAAACATAATGTTCCATCAAGGTAATGCAAGAACCAACTAGCTGGACTCTGCACAGACTCAAAAGGGATCTTTTGCTGCACTAACCATATCGCTCCTTCGGACTTCTACCTTTTTTCACACCTGCAGCCACATTTTGCTGGTGCTGTCTTCCATTCTGAATAGGATGTCCAAAATGAGGTTGATCTGTTTTTGGACTCGCGACCACCAACCACCATGGTTGGCTGCAGTGGTCATGGCGTAATGACCTGTGGTGGGCTCATGGCCACAGCAGCCTTCTGGGCCCAAGGCTTTGAAAAACTACCAAGTTTTTGGCAGAAAATCATAGATTTGGGTGGTGATTACTGCCCGCACTAAAGGTACTGCTTTCATGTTTTTTCTTTCTAACTTTAGTAAGAATGTTTTTTGGTAGAAAACTTTCATTACAACTAGACATTTTATACTGCAATATATTTTTCTTTAAAGAATCTTTATCAAGAGAGGAGTTTGGATTAAATCATGATAACAGTAATAAGTAAGAAGACTTTGCATTATCCAATATGATGACTAAATCTTAATAATCAGTATAGTACAAAGTCTGAGATTCAGTCTCGTCGGAACTTTGTGTAGTCTGGATTTGGAAGTTTTCCGGATTTTAGATCGTGAGTTTAAATCTTGTAAGATGACATAGAAATTATAAAATTAGAAATATGAAATAGTTGTTTATGAAATAATGAAGTATTTATGACCTTAAGAAAATCAAAATTAGCCCCCCAAAAAAGGTCAGTATTTATTTGTTTGTTTTATTAAACATTTCTTTCAGTGTTGCTTCATTTTTTGTACTAATACATTTTCTTTAATTTTATAGACAGACATAATTTCTTGTTAAGTTACAAAGTTCCATTTGCAAATCTTGTAATAGAGAATTTCCGCTAAGTTGTCATTCGAAGTTGTTTCATTCTCAGTAACTTCTCTGTGTCTTTCTTCACTATTGGTAGCAATTTTCTGAATTTAGGACTGTATTTCAAATTTCGTCATCCATTAGTTCATTGATGATTGGGGCATTGCCATCACATTGGAAAACTTCATTTGTTACTTCTCCATATTTCTTCTAAAATTCCATTAATTGAAAAATTTCACATATTGTTTGTCATATCTGAAAACCTTGTGTGGCTATCATCATATAGCTCACCTAACATCCATTTTAAACTATTTGTGATATATCAGGCGATTGATGACTAAAGACAAGTTGTTCCACTAAATTTTTTCTTCTTTCTGTCACATGCTGATGAAGTTAAGCCTGAACTATATTAGCTATCGCACATGTTTATGGCATATCTGAATCTCAAACAAATAAATCCTATTATATAATACTTAAGGCTAATCCAGGGTCAGCGCCAGACATTTTGCCAGCCTGTACACCCTCTATGGGTCCTAAATTCTGCTGCCAGGAATCATCTTAAATTCTAAAAATTTTTCTAACACCAAATTTTATGTCCTAATGCCTTCCCTTAATTCTAAAGGGTTTTTATTCCTTCTTTTGTTGTTTAGTTCTTCTCTAAATTCTGAAAATTTTACCCCCCGGTGCAGTCTTGCCAGTACTGGGCTGATATAAACAAATCAGTTATTATTCATTCACACAACAATTAATGTAATTTTTGGCCTATGAGTATTATTTACAAAATATGTTTTTTGCATATAGAAAGAAATTTTTGTTAAATTTCTCCTTGTGAACACACTCAACACTTCTATGTGCAGTTGGCTGAAATGTGTAATCATCCCCAAGCATAATGTCTGCATAAAAGGTTATCATACTGTTTAGTATTCATTACTAATATTTGCAAAAAAAAAAAAAAAAAAAAAAAAAAAAAAAAAAAAAAAAAATTTGGACATTACTACTCCAGTCATTTCACAAGCTTGCCATATGTTGACAGTCATGTCCTGATTAAAGAGAGGGGGAAGATATGCCAGGGTTATAAGTTATTTATTAAATTAAAATCAGTTTTGTTTTGATGTAGAATGTTTTTGATTTGAAATGTATGCTAAGCCATAATGCTGCTACTCAACAATATTATTTATCATACAGATTTATGTTAATAAATTATTATGCTTCTTCGACTTGGGGGTGTTTCAATTAGTGCTTCAGTGAAATTAAGCATCAGGACTCTTCATGTGTTTTATTATGTAAAAATATCAAACGTGCATGCATAAAACATTAAGCACAGAAAAACAGATAGTTGCTGCTTGTCGGGAGTTCTGGATTTTAGATCACTGTGGATGATGCATATTGGATTTTGGGCTTTAGTATAAATTAATAACAATACCCTCATGGTGAAGTGTAAGAGCCCTTTAATTTCTAGCTTTTTAAGCTAAATTTCTCTCTCTTTTTAATGTGGGACCTGCTCCTATCAACATGTGATATGTAAGCTATGATCATATGCTTTTTATGCCTATTCACTTTTGTCTGCTTATTTGTTTAATTATGCTGTGCTTGAAACAAAAAAATTCTGAGACATCTCTGCTTATTTGATTAGAAAAAATTTTAATTCCTGAAATTAAATGTCATAAAAATGTTGTGTGATCAAATAAGATCTATTACACACATGCTTATTTTAATATTGTATTAAGTAACTTGCTGATTTACATAAAAATGTGAATTTTAATCTAAACATTTGATTATTATATTAACCCTTAGAAAAGCTATTTGTGGTCAGTAAATAATGTGTAGTACTTACGATAAATATTACAAATTTAAGATTAATAACTATTGATTCTTATCAACAGCAATTTTAAAATCAAAATTTTAATTTTTTTCTTTATTTAAAAATTTTATGCTTTAGTAGCAAGCAGTTGCAATAATTAAAATTTATATTTTATTTTTGATACTTTCTATGCATATGATAATAATTAAGTTGATATATCATAATTGTGCATGTTTTATTAAGGTTGAGTATTTTCATCTGATTCTTTTAAAGTCTATCTAGATACATGAATTTGGAGCATTATATTTTATAGCCATTTAAATATTCTGGAAATTTTTTTAATGATCCATGAATTTTTGTCCACTCTGTTTTTATATTGTATTAATTACTTAATGCCTTCCAATCTGTTTTGAAAATTGTTGCAATTTTACCGAAAACTGGTGTTTATAACTTTCTGATATCTGTCATTTCATGGAATACACAAGGAATAAGTTAGCGGAGTAGTTCTAGAATATAGTAGTATGGGGAAATAGAACAATAAAAATTAGACTACTTCTTTAACACTTCTAAAGAAAAAAAAAAAAAAAAAAAGAAAGAAGATTAGTGTGCTAGTAATTTATTTTTAGGAATAGTATGAAAATAGAGGAATATAATGACAATGTTAAATAGGCAATTGAGAATAGGAGAATGAAAATTTCTTAAATTTGTGAAAAATAATAAAATTTCTCTAGAAGGAAGAGATTTGACAAAATACAGTATGGATTACCAGGTTTGAAATTTTTATTTTAGCTGGAAAAAAACCTGCCATTTTCTGCTTGTCAGTGAAATCCATACAGCTTATTAGATTAAATAAATAATTAAAAAAAATTAGTTTTATATCCTATCTGTTATAAAGCAATTTAATTCTTTTTCAAATTTTGTATAACATTCTGAAGATAACAGAAGACTTTTATACAACTTTATGTATTTCTATCTTATAAAAGAGATTTTATTTGTATACCTGTATTTTTACTGAGATTTTTAAAATTTAATATAAGGATCAATTGCTTCAGTCTGTTGTGTCTCCTACTTTTTAAACCAATATTCAAGTTCCTAACACCCTTTTTCCCCTATTTTAAACCAGCATTCAGAAATTTTTTAATACGTAAAACATAATGTACGTAATAATTTCTTGTACTTACTAGTATCATGAACGTATGATCATGTGATTTGAATATTATTATTGTTACAGCTTTAAAAATTTTAAAACTTGGCTTTTTTAGTGATGGTATCTAGTTTTTCCACATAGAGTGGATGAAACATTTTTCGATTAAATTTGTGAAGTGCTAAGTGGAAGCAGTTTAACTCTTTTGTTTAAATTTACCTGTTAGAATCATTATTGTAGTTTATTATTTCAGTTTGCTGGTAGCAACTTACTCAGAGTTTTTTCTGCTAGGTATAATTTCAAGTTTTGTTTATTTAAAATATGTAAATTAACAGAAAGATTTTACCAAATTATTTTTAATCTGTGCTTTCATCTGGATTTATATGGATTGAAATTTAAAGTATAATGTTAAAACTGTCATGTGTTTGTGGTGGGTGTTAATGATTAATATTTTTCAGATTTGTTTCTTGAGAATTTTCAGTTATACTGTTTAGCTTGATTCATAATTCTTGAAATTAAGAGGATAATGGCAGACTTTTACAAACTGTCATTTTAAATCAGTCTTGAACATTTATTATATCTTTATATTAAAGCCATTTATCACATATTTCAATTTTAAATGGTTTTTTTTAAAGTTGTATGTTGTTTTGTTAATAATGTGCTTTAAATTTGTGTTTTTTGTAGCGGAAAAATTTCAAGAGAATCTGTTGAAAACAATGATGGCCATGGAAGAAACGTATTTCTCTCTTGCTGCAACATGCAATCGAAATTGTTTAGTTATATGTGACCGGGGGACTATGGATGCTGCAGCATGTAAGGATTTTTTAATTAGTATTTTTTGCTGATGTTTTCATTTTTAAATCAGTACTGAAAAAGTATCCTTGCTGTAGTCATAAAAAAGATAAATAATATTCAGCTAATTATTTAAGTTAAAAAAGTTAATTTTATTTATTTATTTTTTATTAATTGATTTTTGTATTGCAGTCTGTGATCTGGAGTTTGACAGTTCCATTAAGCTCTGATAATGCCATTTTTGTGTTTAAAAAATTAAGTATTACCCCCTTCTCTTCCATTTGCAATTTAAATTGTAATTTTTACTTTTTATCCATGTATTCCTATTAAGAAGAAGTACATATACTTACAGAATAGTAATGATGCAGGTTATTTTTTCTTATTTAAATGTATTTTAGAATGGCAAAAATTATAATTTATACTAGCAGGCAAGCCTGCCAGATGAGCAAGCTATGGCCAAAGCAATATTTATAAGTTCTCTATACTGAAAAATTTAAAATAAATTGAACTTTTAATTTACTGTACTGTATCCAAAGTTGCTAGCTGTGACCAAAGCAAAATTTATAAGTTCTGTGTACATCTGAAAAGAAAGTGCATAAAAAGATTTCAATATAAATGATGTCAGTTCATTCTTTCCAAGCAACAGCCAATTCGTAAGTAATTTTTTTGTAGCCAAACCAGGGAACAAAAACTTTGGACACCTCTGGTTAAAATATATATGTATGATGTCATGATTTAAATTTAATGTAATATAACAGCATTTTTTCAAATATCAATAAAACTTAATGTGGCAATAACATACCATGTCCAATTATCTTGATCTGAAACAAAAAGGTTGCCAACAGGACCTATTTATTTAAAATGTGGACATTAACAAAAAATTTTCGACATTGCATGCTTTCTTCAACATCAGAACATGACCTTATATAATAATAATATATTTAATGTTTCACAATGCTATTTTTATTTCACATTTTGTAAAACTTACAAAGTTTTTTATTAACAAACTCTACGATTTGAAAGCAAGCAATGGCAACACTTTTTGAAATAAATAGATTTTTATCTCCCTTGTGCAAGACTGTTGCCATTTGGAAAAAAAAAAAAAAAAAAAAAAGGTGAAACTAGCATTTTCAGAGTTTTTAATTAATATCTCAGCTGATCGAAGTCATACAAAGAAGAGAGTGGTCGAAATGGCTTCACGCGAATTTTTGGAATCCGAGGGTACCTTTTTCAAAACTCAGCTCCCCACTATTCCGGAGCAGATAATGCCACAAATAAACAAACAGATATGCACAGATTTTAATAACAGATTTTTGTAACTTTTTCCAAATTCCTCATATGAGTTATCAAAGTAAAATTTAAAAATGTTTTAGTTTCAGTGTTCTCTTACATAACTGAAACATTTTAATGTGTTTTGAGTAGTTTTAAATTATATGTATGTTACCTTTTTAATTTAACTTCTGCTTACAGATTTTATCTTTGTTTTAGTAAAGCAGTGGTTTATTGGAAATGTTTTGATGAAGCCTATTACAGTAAATCTTGCATCATTTATTATTATTATTATTCATTGAGGATCTTTCTTGGGTTTATTTTTTAAAGAAATTTATAATTGTTGACAGACTCATTTTATAAATAATTTGGGATCATTTATTCATTGAAATACATCATTCAGTATTTTTCTTCTTACTTATTATATATATAAAGTGACAAAAGTCATGGGATACCTCCTAATATTTTGTCGGTCTTCCTTTTGCCCGGCGAAGTGCAGCAACTCGACGTGGCATGGACTCAACAAGTCGTTGGAAGTCCCCTGCAGGAATATTGAGCCATGCTGCCTCTATAGACGTCCATAATTGTGAAAGTGTTGACGATGCAGGGTTTTGGGCACGAACTGACTTCTCGATGATGTCCCATAAATGTTCGATGGGATTCATGTCGGGTGATCTAGGTGGCCAGATCATTCACTGGTATTGTTCAGAATGTTCTTCTAACCAATCGTGAACAGTTGTGCCCGGTGACATGACGTATTGTCATCCATAAAAATCCCATTGTTTGAGTATGGAAAGTCCATGAATGGCTGTAAGTATCTCCAAATAGCTAAAGGTATCCTTTTCCAGTCAATGATCGGTTCAGTTGCACCAGAGGACCGAGTCCATGCCATGTAAAAACAGCCCAGACAATTATGGAACCACCACCAGCTTGAACAGTGCCTTGTTGACAACTTGGGTCCATGGCTTCGTGGGGTCTGCGCCACACTCGAACCCTACCATTAGCTCTTACCAACTGAAATCGTGACTCATCTGACCAAGCCACGGTTTTCCATTCGTTTAGGGACCAACCGATATGCTCACGAGCCCACGAGAGTCGCTGCAGACGATGTCGTGCTGTCAGTAAAGGCACTCCAGTGGGTCTTCTGCTGGCATAGCCCAAGGAAGACAAATTTCGCCGAACTATCCTGTCGGACACGTCCCTCGTACGTCCCACATTGATTTCTGCGGTTATTTGATGCAGTGTTGCTTGTTTGTGAACATTGACAGCTCTACGCAGACGTCGCTGGTCTCAGTCATTAAGTGCAGGTGGTCGGCCACTGCGCTGTCCATGGTGGAATGTTATGCCTAAAATTAGATACTCTCGGTACACACTTGACACTGTGGATCTCAGAATGTTGAATTCCCTAACGATATCCGAAATGGAATGACCCATGCGTCTAGCTCCAACTACCATTCCGCGTTCAAAGTCTGTTAAATCTTGTCGTGCTGCCATAATCACGTCAAAGCCTCTTCACATGAATAACTTGAACACAAATGAAGCCCTGCCAAAGCACTTCACATTTATACATTTTGTACGCGATACTACTGCCATCTGTATATTTGCATATTGCTATCTCATGACTTTTGTCACTTCAGTGTAGAGACAGATATTCAGATTTAGTAGATTCTTTTAAACTTCCTGAAGTTCTACTAACTTCTATGCCCGAAGTTCCAATATATATATATAAGAAAAGGAATTAAGAAAAAGCTTAAAGATATAAGTACAAAGGAATAATTGCACTTAAGCAGCAAAACTGCATTGTAGTTAAATTTTATTAAATACTAAAATTATAAGCTTTATAGTACTACAGAAATGCAAAAGAAAAATTTGAGAACCAGGAAGAACAAATTCAGAACTTAAGCCAAAGTGAAGTTAGTGCCAAATTATTAAAACATTCAGATTGATCTATGTTTGCTCTCGTCAGGGGAATGGACAAAAATAATTTAGTTTCCCATTCCAATTAACTGGTAGGCCATATCAATATTTCTGATACTATGCAACTTTCAAATCACAAAAGCAAATTATAAACAATTGCATAGCACCATCTCCTATGTTGATTTTAACAACCAGAAAAGAAAAAAATCTGACGTGTACACCACATGACTTCCTAGTACAGAATATTAAATTATATGCATTTTTTCTTGCATTTCATTTAAACTTATTGGATTGAATTAAATCTACTTCTTCGATAGCACATAAACCACAATAGAATAAATGCGCTCTTTAAAATTCACTATACAGTACAAAGTCCATGATCCTGACGTCCATTATCCGGAATGATCTATAATGCGGACCTCAAAGCCACAAACTTTTTTTTTGTAAAGAATGTGCATCATTACTCGGCGTATACTTCCACAGTCATAACACCTTGGTTCTTTAGTCTTATTATTTACACAAAATAAAGTGCATGCTTTATTTTGTGTGTTAGTACTCAAATAACCCTTATTCTTCTCATCTGGAACGCGGATTTTCTCATAAATTTTAAATTTCTTATTGAATTCAGAAATAGATTTACACCCATACAATTTAATTTTGTTACTACGCTGATCTGGTATCCCATTGATTGCATAATCAAGAATTGATGAATCATCAACAGAACTGCACGCATTGCAATTAAATATTCGGAAAGGGATTCACCAGGTTTTAAGGGCTGTTTAAGTCCAGACATAGTCTAAATGAACCACATTTTTTTCTACTTAGCAGGATATTACTTGCGTAATCAGAACAGCTTGGCTTAATGATTTGGTTCCCTAACCATTCCGAAATCTGTTTATCAATTTCACGCTGCTCTGCAGGGGGGGGAGATGTCAGGGTGCACAATGAACAGGAAGCTGATGTGTCAGAACTATCCTCATCTTCAGGGCAGATGTTTTTATTTTATTCGGCTTATAATTCCTTACTAAATGTAGTATTTCATCTCAATGTACTCCGTCTTTGATATGATTTAAATCAATTTCCTCATCATTATAAATATCACGAATACACATCAAATAGTTTTCTGGTTGCAGTTTTCTAATTTTGACTATGTGTAATGTATGCTTTATGCATGCACGCATTGAAAGAAATGTTTAATAAAGTAAACAAATAAATATTAAGCTTTTTTTTTTTTTTTTTTTGGTAAAATTTGATACCCTTTAGATCATAATTGCTCTTTATTTCATAAATTACAGTTTCATATTTTTAATTGTATACTTTCTGCATGCCATCTTACCAGATTTAAATTGATGATCTTTAATTCGGAAAAAACCCTAATCTGGAATCGCCAAAGTCCGACGAGTCCAGATTACAGACTTTGTACTGCATATGTTTACCATAGTGACACTCTGCTGCTAAGTTGCCTTAACAGCATTACATTTCATTCATTTTATAACTCAGAATGCATAAAATTTGATCATCTGAAGAATTATCTAATCATTGCTACATGTTCTATTCAAATATTATAATAAATCTAAAATGATGTATAAAAGAATTTAAACAAACCAAAAAAAGAAAGAAATGATTTTTCACAGACAACTCAGTATTTTTCATTCAATTAATTGATTCCTGACTTCTCTACGAAGCTAAAATACATAAAAACTCAAAATATCTATATTAAAAATAATGAAGTAAATCTTAAACACTTATTTCGTTGAATAAATTCCAGAATGGATTAAGCATGATTTAATTTGCAATAATAAAAGAAGCCGTTATCTTTGCTGTTGCAATAGTTTCTCTAGATTGGCAACAAATCACTATTCTGTCAAGTTTCAAATGTAAACAAACATGGCCGCCATGGCAAAAATAATTAGGCTTAGCCGCACTTAAGCAAGTTTAAAATTTTTATAATTCTACAAATATTGCATACAGATTTACTAAAGGCATAAAAACCTTAACGGGAAGATAAGAACAACTTAATTCAATCAATTTTAAAGCAAAAAATGCACAATTTACAAACATATAAGGATAAAGAAACTGAGATCACTGAGCCGAGTAACAGCGTAAATATATATATTTATATAATTTTGGTGCGGTCGATTGCAACCAAAATACAAGGTGCACATCTACATGTTTTAGCAGTCCTATGTACAAAATTTCAATGTTCTGAGTCTACTTGTTTTTGAGTTATGTGAGATACGTACGTACGCACAGACGCCACGAAAAATTCTCTTTTTAATTCATTTTAAATTAGTTTTATAATTTTTTTGAGGGAAAAGAATCCTTTATTCTGTCCTTACCTACAGATCTCATGCAAAAACATCGTTAAATTGCATTCGATAGCAGTAAAAATGGATATTTTCGTTGAACTATGATGCCTGAAACTTTACTCGATTACAATATTTCCTTTTTACTTCGTACAAGGAGGTAAAAGGAAAGGAAAGTGACGAAAGTAAAATAAAATGCAATTTTTAAGTTGTGGAGTATCAGTAAACTCCAAAAATGAGAAAGCATACAAATACAAACAGTCAAATCAAATAAAAATTTCAGTTTCAACAGTCAAAAAGGCCTTAAAAAAACTGTTCAAAATGTCGAACATCAATAAACTCAGAATCTGTAGTTGAACAACTCTTCATCATGAGGGAAAGATGACAAAGCATGTACATACAATAAAAGTAAATCAAAAGTACAAATAAAAAATCAGTTAGTTATGCTCGAGTCACTGAACTAAAAGAAGAAGAAAGCATTAATTCACCACAACTGAAGTCCAAGCTAAAAGGGAAGCATGAGGCAAAATGCAGTTATGGAGTCCTCCCAAGTGTTTATGATTTTTTGTCCATTTGGCTTGCTGGAGAGAAGAGCGACAGAAAGGGTGTTTATATGCAAATAGGGACTTTTCGACTCTCCCACCCTTGAATGAATTAACTGCCATTTCAATATTTTGAAAAAATATTTGTCAATACTGCCATCAACGAAGTTCAAAGAATTAAAATAAATTTGGTGCATCTGATTTGTGTTCTAAAATTGCTCATTACCGTGAAAGTTTTAAAAGATAATTTCTTTATTATCCCTGTTGATAGAGACTGCAAAAACTCCAACATTATTTGTAAAAAAATTCTAATACAGTCTTATTTTTTTAAGAGCTTCATAATCCTGTCGTGTACCAAAGAAATCTGTTATAGAAAACTTACTGCGTTTCATGAAAAACATAAAGTTTCTGCTCAACTCTAATAAATTTTCAAACCTTTTCTGTATTTCTCAGATTTTACAGAACTCTACACTGCTCTTCGACGTTTATGAAATTTATGATAGATTATTAAAATTATCCAACAATTTTCCTGGAATTTGCAGACACTTTGACCAGGATTCTTGACTGCCATTCTCCAGCACCTTATTTCACAACTTTATTCAATCTGGTAATAAGATTTTCCAGCAAATTTTTTGCTGTGGTGTAATTTGCTTGCAGCATAATTTTTGTAAATAAAAAAAATGTAAATTTTGTATATTTCTAAAAGTAGTTTTTAAAAAAAGTAGTTAAAAGTAGTAAATTTTATATATTTATATTTTTTCACTCTGATAGCTGATTTCTTAAGTTACAAACAAGGCCAACTTTCTTCAAACCTCAAGGCAGCCACATTTAGGTGAAGATTTCAGCTTTTCTTTTCTATTTTTCTTTTTCCAGGTTACTCCAGCATGTCAAATGGATAAAAACCATACACTGCATATATCATACTTGCATTTTGCCATATGAATTCATTTCCATTGAGACTTCAGTTGCGGGGAATTTTCTTCCTGATATAGTCGAATGACTTAAGCATAACTTTTCTTTTTTATTTGTGCTATGCTTTGTCATCATTCCTTCATTATTTACCATTTATCAACTACATATTTGGAGTTTTGATACTCCACATATTGAAGAATTTCTTTTTTGGTTATTAAAATCGACATATTTATTTGATTTGGTTATTTTCTTATATGCTGTGTAATTTTTGTATTTACTTACATGCTTTATAATTTTTGCATCATTTTTTGGAGTTTACTGATACTTTATAATTTAGGAAAGTAGTTTTTATTTTTTGGTTGTTCAGATGAATGTAGGGGATAGTGTATGCAGTTGTTTATAATGTGTTTGTTATAATTTTAGTGCTTAATGTAATTTAATTGCAATATATATATGTATATGTCTGTGTGTGTGTGTGTGTATGGTGTGTAATAATTTAGGATACAAGAGAAGGCACAAGTAATTTTAATGATGACCGATCGCTGTAAATGATGCTGGCATGTAGAATGCATAATTGTATCGTTGTTGTCGGACACAGACTTTGTGGCTATTCAGCACACTTTATTCTTGAACAAAGCAGTTCTCTTGATTAAGAGCATCCTGATTCATACATCATTATGGGCACAGTCTGCACCCATTCTTCACATTATTGTACCTACATTTTGTATACACACACATACACATACAGGTTTAAAATACATGAGGAAAAATTTCCTTAAATTTCTCTTTTTCTTTTATTAGTTTTATCGATTGAAAATCAAGTGGGGAAAATTATGTGAATAATTTAATATCACACGAAAGAACACAGTTACAAGAACATAACACAAGAAAAATAGTCATGGATAAACTACAAGTAACTATCACAAAATTGTTAGTTTTAACTTTTTAAAGAAACCAACATTCCAATAAGAATACATAGCAATAATAATATTACCAATATGTGATACTATATCTTCATTTCTACTTTCTTGTAACTTAATCTCCCCATTTGTCTTGTTTTCTCTGCTACTCCTTAGGCCTCAAATCATTCCTAAATAATTAGAGAAGATGTATGTGCAGCTGCCTTAGTGAAATTGTATTTTGATTGTCAGTTCATGTTTGCTTTCCAGTGATTGACCGGTTCTTGTATTTGGTTTCTATATAATATTGAACAAATAGAACGGAAATGTTTGACCTTCTTAGGTACTTTGCAAGGGTTTGTCTTTTTTAGTGAAATGAAAATTCACTATGTAGACGAATCCTTTTTTAAATTCATGGAAGCTCATTCTCTGAAGGAAGAGGAAAATTATGTGAATATTAGTAAAATTTTCAGAACCTGTCATTAAAATGGTAGAGAAGAAACTGTGCGAGGAAATACAGTACTGAATTGATATCCTTTATTTGCATCTTTTCAGTTATTCCTAAAGATGTATGGGACAAAATGTTATCTGCAAATGGTTGGAATCCAGTGCAGTTAAGGGATAATCGTTATAATCAAGTTGTGCATCTGGTAAGACTATTTGCTTCTATGTGTTTTATATATATATTTGTTTACCACTTTACATGTTTGCAACCTTTTCAGTGTTGCAAAAATTGTTAAGACAACAGTTCATAGAGTACTTTTTATAAGTAACCATAATATGTGCATCATATGTAGAGCTTTGGAAGAAAGAAAACAAAGAACTGATGAGGTGCACGTGATATAATTTGTATAAGTGTGATGAGAAATATTGAAAGCACTCTGAATGTTTAGTTTATCCACATATCAAGGTAAAATAAAAAATTACTTTGATAAATTAATTTGTTTGGGTATGGTGCAAACTACTTCTTAATCCTTCAGGAGGATTTGAACCAAAATAATAATGTTGCAGGCTAAATTTTAATTCTTTATGTACAGTTATTTACATTCTTTGCATTTTCTACTCCAAAGCCTATATTTATTATGCTGATTAATTCATTGGCATAACAGCATCACCTTGGTGTAAAGTAAAATAGATTTGAAATGTAATAAATATTTTGTATGTCTTTAGCTTGAATATTTTATTAGTTTTTGTATTTCTGCTTGAAGATATGTTTTTTGTTGTGAATAGGTCATGAACTTTTGATTGAATTGAGTAATCAACATAATTTATGGTTTCTCTGGCTTATTTTATACTATTACTTTGTCACTACCTTTGTACTATGTCTGTAGCAATATTCTTATTAAGCAATACTTAGCAAATACTTACCAATATATAGTACATTTCAAAAATGAAGTAACCCATAAAAAGTGTCAGATATTATTTAAGTGGCATTTATTAGTTAAAAGTCTGAAAGAGTGTCAAATTTATTTTTTGTCCTTTTGGAATGCAAATTTAATTTGATACTTTCAAGCTATCAAGCAAGTATATTTGGTGAAAATAATTTTTTTTGAGGGGGTCTGTCATCATCATCTTTTAACATTGCCAACTGCCAATGCTTAAATTGAGAATGAGAATTCTCATTTCTGATCACTAGTTAATACGTTAATTTCATAACATTAATTGAATCAAGCTCATATTTAGTTTGGGATTAGATACAAATTACTGCAGCTAGCTAGGTTACTAAATCAAGTATTTCATCAAAATGATCAACGTGAAAATTTTGATAATTTATACATTAAAAGGCTAAAATATCTTGATACTGTGATAAATATCCATTCAAGATGATCAGGTCACCTCACCATAGTTCTTAATATTATTGTGCATTTCAGCAGAATGATTTGTTTGTAAAATATTGTACAGTCAAAAGTCTTTAATTCGGACTTGTTGGGACTTCAGCGATTACGGATTATCGATTTTTCTGGATTAGAGATCATCAGTTTAAATCTGGTAAGATGGCATGCAGAAATTATAAAATTAAAAATATGAAACCGTAATTTATGAAATAAAGAACAATTATGATCTAAAGGGTATCAAAATTTACAAAAAAAAAAAAAAAAAAAAAAAACTTAATATTTATTTGTTTATTTTATTAAAAATTTCTTTCAATGTAAGTTGTTTAAGTTGCTTCGTTTTATGTGATAATATTTTCTCTTTAATTCTATAAACAGACATAATTTCTTGTTCAGTTACAAAGTTCTGCTGTTCAAGTCCTATAATAGCTGTGTAGAGAATACCGACTAATTTGTCAATTGAAATTTTTTCGTTTTCAATAACCTCTGTGTCACTTTCTTCACTATCGGAAGCGAATTATAATGACGAGGAATTTGATTTAAATCATATCAAAGAGGGAGTACATCGAGATGAAATACTACATTTAGTAAGGAATTATAAGCCAAATAAAATAAAAACATCTGCCTTGAAGATAAGGATAGTGCTGACAGATCAACTTCCAATTCATTGCGCGCCGCAATGTTCTCCCCCCAACTCCACCCCCCGCAGAGCAGCATGAAATTGATAAACAGATTTCGGAATGATTAGAGAAACAAAGGATATGCCTTTATCCATTTTTTGCAGCAATTCCACTTTTTGTTTGATATACATCGAAACATACTTTCGCTTTGGCAGCTCCAGCATCGGAAATTCTATTTGACATATTCGAAAGTTCAAGCTTACTTTTATAAAATTGCTCTAACAGTCTGCAAAAAATAATAAGCCGGATCCAATTCGAAGATTAAGGAACAACGCAATCTGCAACATTAACTGAAATAGATAATTAGATAATTTTAGCTTAGCTGATACCGTCCATTATGCATTAAACGTGCATGCATAAACGTATTATGCGCATGCGCACACGCACTATGTGTTGACGCATGCGCAAAAAGTTTGTAGCTTTGAGGTCTGGATTATAGATCATTATGGGTGTCCGGATTAATGACTTTTGACTGTATATCCTTTTATGGGTATTGCTTCTTTGTGCTGTAGTGGTCTTTTGATATAACCATATTCCATTAAGTCTCAAAGGAAGTTATTATTTCTTTTTAAACTGAAAAACAGCACAAGTTTAACAAGCACAATTTATTATAAACTTTTCTGTGTAAAGTTTGTGGATTTCGCAGGAAACAGTGATGAGATAACAGAACATTACAGACTGTAGATTGTGTACCAGACAAATGTATAATATAAAATTCTAGCCTAGATTGAAAGAATAAATTAATAATCTAATTAAATATTGTATCAAATAATCTTTATTTGACCAGAGTTACCCAGGAGAAATCAGCTTACTATATGAGCTTTTAGATCTACATCTTTGCAAACTTTTGCTTATTATTAAACTGAACAATTTTTTTTATAATAAACTGTTTACTGGATTGATAGATAACTTTCCTGAGTCATAAATATGTGACATTTTTGTGATGCATTCTTAGCTTTGAAGAGAAACCTTAGTGTTGTATAACTCATTACATAAGTAACAGGAATTTTTTTTTTTTTTTTTTTAAAATTGGCATACTGAGTGTTGATGGGAATATTGCCAAAAGTTTCATTGCCTAAATATATGTTTATGTATGCTAAGTTAGAAATGTTAACTATCATATTTTTCTTATATGCATTTAACATTTTAAATATACATTATGTTTCTGTATTTTACTAAAGTATTAATGAAGTAATTTAAAAAAAATAATTTTGAACAGATAACAGCTGCAAATGGAGCCGAAGAATTTTACAATATAGAAGATAATAGTTGCCGTACTGAAGGCATAGAATTAGCAAGGACTAGGGATCTGAGAGCAGCTGAAGTATGAGTTACATGCAGAAATATATATTGTATCAAACCTTACTATATGTGTAACTATAAATGCTAAGGAATATGTTTGCTGATTATAGTATTTTAAAAATTATAATATTGAGAATAGCCAGAATACAGGTTGGCGGTCATATTTGCAGGGTTGCTACGCTACCTGGAAAACCAGAAAAAGTCAGGGAATTCAAAATTAACCAAAAAATTCAGGGAAAAGTCAGGGAATTTTAAATATTTTAGCCAAAATCTGGAAAAGGCAGGGAATTTCATACAGCGATCACTTTCTTAGCGAATTATGTATCACGTGAACATCATTTGGCCAGCTGGCATAGAGCCAATTTCCGTAGCTCTAATTAAATTGTCTTTTAGAAAGGCAAAGCAAGTTTCCAGTAATCTCCAGAATCAAGAGATGCACATGTGCAATGCATGTTGAACTAAAGAAAATATGTATTCTCGTATAAAACAAAATCAGTTGAATCCTAGTATATGGAACTATGGAAGTCAGAATAGCCTCCATGTATTCTATTCTAACCTCCATGTACGGGACACACGGAATTTGGCGACGTTATGATGAGCAGCAAACGGGTCATTCTATGTATTATTCGTTCATTCTGATGTTGGCGATAATTTTCAAAATTGTGTCAAGGCCTTAGCGTATACTAGTATTTTACTGCAAAATCTTTTAAACCTCTTTTTTTTTTTTTTTTTTTTTGTTTTTTAATAAATGCCTTTTTTGTCATTTTGCAGTAAAATTTAAAAAAAAAAAAAAAAAAAAAAAAAATTAAAAAATAGTAATCAGTCACTTAGGCTAACCTTTTAATATAACTAGTCGCCAAAATATTGTTGATTATTCTAATTCAATTTTTAAGTAATTTTCTTTATTTTAATGTTATTTGTATAATTTAATGTGCTTCTTTCCCCCCCCCCAAATTTATTTATTATTAGTAAAATATACTTTCAAATTTGAGGAAATTTTTTCTGGCATAATCCTAAAACTAATTCTAGCAGTATGATGACATACCACTGCAAATTTAATGCACATATTTTTTGCTTATGTATACTGCTAAATAAATATAAAATACCTGAATTTATCTAAAAATATAACTGCTCCCCCAAAAAAATTTTTTTAAATCCAAATTGGGCAAATTTTAATTTCAATCTTCAGTGGAGAAAACAACTCCTATTATAGTTATAATAGTAATGCTTTGGGGATTTTATATATATATATATATGAAATGTATTTTCTCATACATTATTTGTGTTGTGCAGCGGGGGAAACAGGAATGAGACAAATTTTGGAATATAAAGTGATATGTTTATTTTAGCATCCATCTCACAAGCGTTCCTTCTGTACCTCGAGGAGAAGCCCTATTTATAAATATGTGTGCGTCATGGTGCTCATTCAATCAGCGATATTAACTGAAATCACGAGGTGACGCTATCTTCTCATCAGGAGTGTTCTTAAGGACTTTATGTAATATGACAGATTTATGAGTTTGGTGATTTGGCGGGCGCCAACAGGTTAATATAATCTATAATAATAAAGAAAGGATTTCACCAAAATTTAGGAACAGGGATGCAATTTATTTAGAGAACTGCCGACACCTTATTAAGCAATATGATTAGAATTTAATTTAATCAATTGATTTAAAAATATCATTACATATATATAAAAGTCATATGTATGTAAATGGCAAATTTTTGTGTTTTCAAGTGTTACAATAATTAATTTACCTCTTAGCACAGCCAATGTGCATTATGCAGATAGACTGGAATTTTCTTAACGCACGGATAACCTGGAAAGGTCAGAGAATTTCATTCTCCTGTTTGAGTGGCAACCCTGTATGTGACTCTTAAACATGTGACCAAAAAATTCAGGGATGTAGCTTGTGAAAATAAATGACAAGCTTTCTTTTTTTTAATCATTAAAGAAAAGATAAATAAAGAAAATTGTTTGTGTAATTATTTATTAGGTACACTGCTCAAAAAAAAGAAAGAAAAAAAGGGGGGACAGTTCTATATCTCTCGTACTACTGGGCCGATTCACGAAATTCAAATTGCGTTCTTCATGTCTCAAAAGTGCGACTTAGGATATTAGATTTAGTATATATAGCACTATTCTAACATAGGTATTTTGACACAAAATCGGACTTTTTCTGAAAAAACATACCAATTGTTTTACATATTTCGATTCTACGACTCAAATTATGCCTAAATATTAAATTTTGTTAAATTTGGTGTGAAATTTATGGAGAAATTCATGCTGCTTTTTTATTCAGTTTGCGCCAAAATTAGTTCACTTGGCGAACTTCTTAATATGTGGCAACCTATTTTCATTTCCATTTTTACATAGTGCATGAGAGGAAAAAAAGACTTAATCATTTCTTCTTTCAAATAATATTCTTTTTATTATATTTTTATTTATAATTGTTATTAATTTTAAGCAATTTTTTTTTCTTTTTCGAATTTCATTTTAATTGTTTACGTTGCATAGTTTCTTTCGAATAACTGTTTTAAAAATTTCTATTTACTCATTCGAACTGCATAGTTTAAATCAAAGGCTCATCGTTTATTTATTTATTTATTTTTTTTTCCAAATAGTTTTCTTTATACTATATTTTTAGTCATAGTTACTATTTTAGGTAATTTAAAAATTTTTAGACTTTTATTTTAATAGTTAGTGTTGCATTGTCTCTTCAGATACTTATTTGAAAATTTTCTATTTATTCATTTGAAGTGAGCATTTTAAATATATTTATTAATATAAATTTTCCAGAATTTTATATTTTATTTATTTGAATTGCATTTCTTTCGGAAGAATACTTTGTAACCCAGACTACGATGCATTTGAAAACTGCATATATTAAAAGAGAAAATACAGTAAAGCACACTTAACACGCCTTTCAATGTTCCGTTCAGAAAAGCTGTATAAATAAGAGAGGTATAATCGACATTTTAACTTAGGATGACTTGCATACACTACTTTAAACAGTTTTTCTTCATTCTGCTTTATTCTTGCTCTTTTTCTTCAGGCATTCTGCAAGCATATTAAAAAGCATCCAACTTTTCGAAATATCTTGGTATTTCTGGCAATAATTTTAAATAAAGTTATCGCCTTCCATTTCATAAAGGTCCACAAATGGCCGAGCGGTAAAGTCGCTGAACACTGGTAGTTCACTCCAGGGTTCAAATCCCAGTAAATGGGTTGGTTGCATTGGCGTTTTCGTGGATTTTCTCATGTGTACCGTGTATGACAGATGGTTTCCCTTAGAAAGTTCTTCACGAAGTATGTCGTCAGAGCCTTTATCAATCTTTAGAGGCTAAACATTTTGAAGGTATGAGATGAAAGGAAAGGTTGGTTTCATCAAGAGGTTTTGGTTTATTTAATTATGGCAAAGCACACTAGGACTATCTGTCTAAGGGAAGGGATGCCTTCGTGGAGGACTTTCTAAGGGAAATTGGTTCGTAAACACGTTACACATAGAAAAAACCACCAAAACGCCCATGCAGCCAGCCTGTTCACGGGATTCTAACCTCGGACCGAACTACCAGTCTAAAACCAGTCGCTCTTCACTTTAATCTGCAATGATATCGTTTTTGTCTTTTCCATTAACACAAGCTGAATTGATGATATTTGCTGGTGTACACGTCCAAGTGTTTTCTCTTTGAACACCTAAATTCTTTAAAGTATCCTGAAAGTATATTCAAAAGTGTACAACTGTTTTAAACATCTTGGTATGTCTGACAGCCAAATTTCCCTTCAAATTTTTACTTACTTTTCTCCCTAATTTTCTTCTTTCCTTCTACAGTTATTTTCAGTGCTCACACAAAAAAATTAAGGTTTTTCCATTGTTAGACTTTCATAAATTTTGCATTCTTGTCAATTTTTTTAAAATATCAATTGCATCAACAGCGTTTCAGTTAAAGACAGCTTTTCATTTTCTAGACATTTTTAACTATAAACAAAGTATAGAGCTAAGTCCAAAGGATAAATATTTTAATTATAAGATTTTTTGCTAAATGACAAAGAAATAAAACAGTCCAGCAGTGTTTATTCTATACCATTGAGTGACCTGATTCTTATATCGGCTGAAACAATCTAAATCATATTAAAGATCATGTTTTTTATACAATCTATAACGCGAGAGAAAAATTAGCTTCTTAAAACATTCTTTCTAAGAGAATTAATATAAGAATTTATATTTATATACATATATTTTTTAAAGCCAGGACTTGAACCAAACTGTCAAACTTTTAAAGTTTAATTTACATGGTGGTTATAATTAAAGTTCCACTTTGAAATGGTCATAAAAGGAAAGCTACCAGACCAAATGTTATCAAACTTGAGAATCGTGTGGAAGAAAAAAAAGAGTTCAAAAACTTACCACCAGGGGGAAAATGGCACTGTATGCAATATTGTTAAAGGAAATAAGACATGAAAACATCAGTGTAAAATGTGTTTAATCATTTCCAAACGTGTTGCAAAGCATGTTCAATGTAGCATCCAGCATTTTCCTAAAACAAGTTAAATCCTGTTATTGCATTCTCAACAGCAGTTCTTAGCATATCAGGAGGAATGTTACAGACATGTCGGTGTATCACATTTTTCATTTCTGCCAAATTGTTTAGATTATCACCATAAACAGTGCTTTTGAGATAACCCCATAGCCAAAAGTCACAGAGGTTGAGGTCTGGTGGGAAGAGGGGAAGTGTTGGCCTATAAGATGTTCATTTCTGAAATGTTGCCTAAGTAACTCGACACATGTGAGGTGGGGGGGGGAACCCCAGCTTTAGATAAAAATCCTAGTATCTAAAATGCCACATTACTGCAGTTCATGTATCACAAAACATTTTAACATTGACGAGCAAGCTGCAATCACAGTTGTCCAGTTGTCGACTGCTCTTCAAAGAGAAATGGTTCAGTTATGAAACTAGCTGTCATTCCACTCCAGATGGTGTGAAATGACTGCTATGCAATGGAATGCAGTAGGAGAATGC